GAAAGTGATATACAAAAATTTACTGAAGGTTCTACATAGTAAGTGATGAAGAAAACTCAATTGTTCTGAGTGCTATGAGATATAAGGTCTGCTATTTTGTTAGAATATCATTTTCCGCCATCCGCTACCTCAATAAATTGCTTTTTTGAAATGACTGTAACTCTGACACAAAAATTGGCTTCTCACTACTCCGCCTTTGTTTGCAATCTCCGTTCATAGCACAAGGCAAAGCAGAATCGGTTCAAACTAAAATATTTTAACACGATTCTTCCCAGAAAATATAAGTAAACAAGAAGTCGATTTTCGTAATGGTTTTCGAAATTTTGCAATGAGCAGCGAAGTGCCAATTTCAGTTTCTTTGACTCATTTTCAGGCAGCAATACGCCACACGCCTTCTCAGAAAGACAGAACTGAGTCGACAGAGGCAAGAGCTGCGCGCTACAATCTCCATCGTATTGATAATATTACTCTATTTGTTGCTGCATTCTCTTCGCCTGTACATAATAGCACGAAAATGGCAGCTACTGTTGAACCATCAATGCCCAACAAGGTTTGTGCTTTGATTCGAATATGATGACTAGTTCATCTTGCAGAAGTGGTGACTTGATCTCTCGTTGGTAATGAAGAAGAGGTGGGAAAACTCAGGCCGATGTCAGACTTTCAAATCGAGCAATTCGCTACTAGCCATGCGCTAGCGGCCGCGGTCGCGTCGCGTACAAGCCAGACTGGCCAGACTTGCTGTACGCTACGCGACCGCGGACGCGAGCAATTCGCTCGGTTCGCAAAGTCTGGCATCGACCTCAGGAAAGATAAAATTTCTGGGCACTATTCAACTATTACAACCCCAAAATCTCAAAATTTTATTTTTCGTCGAAACTTCGCCTATAGGGGTAATTCGATGCCCTGATTACGAAAATGACATTCATTTTTGGCGCTGGCGCCATTTGGCGCCATTTGGCGCCAGGGCTGTTTTCACCAAATTCGCTGTAAACTTGTATATAGGGGTTATTTGGGGTCCTGATTACGAATATGACATTCGTTTTTAGCATTTGCACTATTCAACGCACATTTTCCGTTTTCCTGGGCCTCTCACTTGTACATATACCTAGGACTAAGCTTAGGAGGAGGGAGGACTCCGGGGTGGGTGAACCAGGCAACGTGTGGCAAAAGTTGAAGCGTATAAGATCACAGGATGAGTGTTATTCACTTCGGAGCACTCTTCTCCCCAAAGGCTTAGTCCTGATCGCGAGCTAATCAGTGAGAGGGCGCAGACGAGCGGAAAATAGGCGCCAAATGGCGCAAAAAATGAATGTTATATTCGTAATCAGGACCCCAAATAACCCCTATATACAAGTTTACAGCGAATTTGGTGAAAACAGCCCTGGCGCCAAATGGCGCCAGCGCCAAAAATGAATGTCATTTTCGTAATCAGGGCATCGAATTACCCCTATAGGCGAAGTTTCGACGAAAAATAAAATTTTGAGATTTTGGGGTTGTAATAGTTGAATAGTGCCAATTTCTGATGGTTTCTTCTTGAGTACTTGTACCGTACCCTTGGATTCCCAGTACGAATCACGGGCAGGCTAACCAACTTCTCCTCCTCTCAGGGAAAAGTTGATTATGAACATACGTCTCGAAATTAAAGATCAGTCACTTCATCGAATGAGATAAATAGCACCAACTAATAATAAGTCACTTCATCGAATGAGATAAATACACCACCTAATGGAAGCGCGTGGCACATACTTAAAGGGATTGAACAGCGCCAGATAAGATTGTATAAGTTACCTTTTCTTATATCTGAAACAAAATTTCTCTTCAGATCCGACTATTTTCACTCCTATATCGCCCATCTGCTTTCAATGATCTCTGCTACTGTCAACGCCTTCGTGTTCATTGCTTTCACAAATCGGTTACGACGATATTTCCAGCTGTTGATACGTAAGACAAGCCGGACGCTATCAAATTCCAGTGATCCTCCGCTTTCGCCAAGAAATACATTCAGTACTGATAATGGTAATACTGCGCGTAATGAACAAAACATTTTGTTGTAGGACATTCCGTGACACAGTCATCCCCGCTGCATGATTTCCAACATATTTTGATATGAATGCTAATAAATTTGTTACACTGTAATTCACATCTACAAAATTGAGTTCGTAGGTCTGGAGGAAGTCTACTTGTGAGTCTTATAGACCTTGTCTTCTTAACACAGCGTGAAAAGGTTACGTCAATAAAAATGATTCATTCCCTCCACATTCAAAGTGCTTGATAAAAGCAAACCGGATGCTTCTATATAGAAATTACGGAGCACATTCAAATCATTAAACCTCGTCATAGCCTTTAAAGGAGGAATTCACGATTAGAATGAAGGTCGAAGAAAGGGAAACTGACCTAGTTGAGGGACCCACGGACCTCCTGAGGGTGCGAACTGACGCGCAATTCGCATGGAAAAATTTGACCTCGGCGACCTATCATGCCTCAAAGCTGGCGGGTCCGGCGATCTCCGCCCACCGATCATCTGATCACTCGCCGCAGTTCTATACGTGGCGAGTGATTAGATAGCTGAGAGAGCGTAGTGTTGAAGAGGGCACAGCGATGAGAGTCGCATCAATGCTCAAATCAACGGGCAAGGAAGGGGTCCCATTTCTCGGGTTCTGGGCCGTTTCTCATGGTTCTTCCTTCTTTCGTGTACCACTCACCATCCCTAGGTTAATTTGAAATGGGTTGCTTTTTCATCGTGAATTCGTCCTTTAAGGCGACATTTGAAGATTCTGTCGCAAGAACATGATGGAAGGCACGCATCGTGTGTCACGAGGTCGATGTGACTTGGCGACTGCACAATCGCGACAGCTTAAAGATAGCACGCCTAACGACCCACTTGACCATTGTGCAGCGAACGGCTAAAGCACTGTCGCGATTGCGCAGTCGCTGAGGCTGACGTCCATCCGACGACGCCACCTGAAATGCTGCCCGATACGGACGCGCAATAATTCATATTTCTGGGCAGTGAGGGCCGTTAACAAGGCTTGCTTCAGATTATAGAGGGATATTTGAGGAATGTTTGGCTGTAAAATCTTCATGGACTGAGGCAGCCTCTGGCGGAAAAAGTTCGCTGAGATGTGCTATGGGTAGAATCCCCGCTCCATAAAGGCCGTGCAAAAGCGCTTGCATTCAGTGATTTTTCGAATTCTATTATTTCACCTCTTGTTGGGAGGTGGGCATTGGGTGAGTGCGTCTAATTGTTGAACGTTTAGTGATGTCTTTTCAGGTATAAGCCTCTTGCACATAGGGTGAAGCTTCCGCTATTGAGAAGTTCCAAAATGAGGGACGTGTTTTGAGGATGGAAGCAGGGTCTCACGCTAGAATTTGCAGGGGTCGTGTTGTAGCGAAAGAGGTCACGTTCAGAGCTTAGGGATAGTTTTGTTTACAACTCCCTAGAAATGCTGAAATAGGACGAAACTGTGTAGGAATTGCTGCTCCAGAATTTATAAAATAAACACCCTTCTCCCCTAACCGTCCGATGGCATAAAGAAATTGCTTTTTTGGGGACGTAGATGTAGTGTAGGTGTCTTTAAATGTAAGGTTCATTGCACTGACACCGCAAAAGCCGTTGGGCTAGGGGGAGGGGTGGGGAGGGGGGTTACAAGAGGTGAAGTCATGGAGGGCTCACGACCTGCCTTTGATGTTAGTGGATGACGTCACCCGCGAACTTCAAAAATTTGTTCCCCATTGCGACGGTCGGCCTTGCGGGTCAAATTCTAAGTTATAAATACAACACATTACCGAAAGAAAACCGTTGCAATACGATCCTTAAAGGGGGATTAGACGATAAGGACGAATGTCGAAAAGAGCGAAACTTACCTAGTAGAGAATACAGGTGGACCTTCTAGGGTACGGCACGCAATTTTCATCGAAGCGATATGCCCCGGCGATCTAGTTTACTTCTCCGCGGCGCTATTGGCGCACTATCGCGCGGTACGCCCCCTCTCGCTGTCTGAGCCTCTAGCCGTTTCAGCAGAGAGAGCGTTAGCGTTGAAGAGGGCAGCACCGATGAGAGTCGCATCAATGCGAAATCAATGGCAAGGGAAGGGATTAATTTTCGGGTTCTAAGCAGCTTTTCTTGGATTTTTCTTTCGTGTTTCACTGACTATCTCACTTAATTTCAATAAGCTGCATTTTCATTGTAAAGGCGGGTGGCACGATAAACTGGATGTCGAAAAAGAGAAGTGCCTACGTAAAGGGGGTTTAGTTCAACTTCCAATGACTGGAGAGATGGCACTTCCGCAGCGAAGAGGCTTCCTTATTGTCAATGACGTCACAATATGTACTACCCATTATGCTAGGCGCCGTCGTCCCTCTTCCCTCCCCCCTTTGGTGTGACCGAGAGCGGAAATCAGCGAGGAGCAAGAACCAGTTTTGTGGGTTCAGGCCGTTTAATTTCAGTCTTTCTTCACTGCAGCATCTCTTTGCAGATTACCTCATTCCCAATTGGCTACCAATGTATCTTACAATCTGCTACATATTAACCAAGCAATTGAGAACTCTTCTGCTTCTTTCCTTCCTTTGCCCCGAGGTTTCCAGCCAAAGCTCCACGGGGGGCCATTAGATTTCGCTATATAATTGTCCCTATTCTTGATTTTGACGGAGAATGGGGAAGTTCACACGTCCGATCAGTCCGCTTCTTCAATTCCCGCCTCGGGCATTCTGTCAATGCTCAGAAGTCACACATTTCTAGGCGATGAATGGGAACGTGAGAGTGAAAATGTGGCCTAGCCCAGCGAGCGCTAAATTTGTTCATGTGGCTTCGCAAACCTTTTCTTCTCGGTATTTTAATAGCTCCCCTACCCGCCCTCTGAGAAAAGGATAGTTACACAGTGAATGGGATTTTATTTCCTATTTTACGCTACTGAGGGTTAGTTTTTTCAAGAGCTGGACAACAAGCAGCCCTTCTATTTTTCCAAAGACGACCAGCAATCAATACCTAAAGTCACAGCACTTTCTTGGACCAGATATTATCGTGCTAAAACGTGACTTCTGAATGGTAATAGGAATAGGATTGGCGAAATATTAAACTAGAATAGCACTGCATAAATTTTGGAGAAACTGAGTTACATGGAGAGTAGACCATGAAACTCTCTGATAATTAATGATGAGGTTCGCCTGTTGTACAACTTTGAAAGGAAAATGGAATTGAAGTTCGTTGTGTTGTTGTTTTCACATAAATGTGTCATATGTGACCACAAACTACAGCATGCGCTTGCGTAAGAATTCAGTTTTCAAATTAAAAACAAGGTCTTATAAGTCACACTTTGTGGACAGTTTACAGACAGCTAGGCGGAGCCAAGGGTACGTGGAATGAAGCACGTGGTAGGGTGGCCATCATGCGCAGTGAGTTCATAGGTGGAAACTGAATACATCTTCAGAGTTTGAAAGGTAGAGCCAAAAAGTTTGGACGCGATAGATCAGAATGCAATAGAAGAGTGAAATATTATTGACTTACATAGAAAGTAAGACAGAAAGACTCTTGAGTGTCGACAACTCGAGAAATAAATAAAGGCGTTCCTGCCGCTAACATTCTTACAGTTCTCTGTAGCAAGTTGAGACGAGTTCCTGGAAAAGCGGTTTTCTGAGTGCATAGAGTTTTCTCTTACAACATTTCAGATTATGGATTTCGGATTCGGAAATAAACGCAATTTTCTCCTTTCTCGTTTTGATGGGTCTCACAAGGGAGGGCAAGTGCGCTTTTAGAAACGGTTTAGTACATGTTGTAGGGACGCATGTATGGACCACAAAACCATGTTTCGTTTTCGCTGAACGGTTTTAGTAGTACCAAAAAAGTGGTGAATAATACCTTGATGGTTCGATCCCCCGCGGCGACTAAATTTTGCAATCAAGGTTGGCGGCCACTTGTTGGCTTCAAAATGGTCCTGACGATGAATTTGACATCTGATTTTGATATTTAGCGCGATTTGGCACCAAACCGTAGGCGCCAACCCAAATGCAAAATTTAGTCGCCACGGGGGATCGAACCCTTAACAGTACCTTATGCTTCTTTTTTGGTACTGCTATAACCGTTCAGCGAAAATGAAACATGGTTTTGCGTTCCCTACATGCGTCCCTACAATATACAAAACCGTTTTGAAAAAGCGCACCTTGCCCTGAAAGACCTCCCTTGTGAGACCATCGGTAAATGAGAGTTAGAACCATGCGATTTCCGTGCACGATTCCTTGGATAAACGATAATTCGAGGCAATCAAACAACTTGAAACAAATGAAGAAACAACGCCCTGATTTCGTGATTAGAAGAGGCTCGATCCATGTGCACAATAGCACAGGTGGGAGGGTTGAAAGAAGTCATCGTTTTCGGCCAGTGGCTTTCTGGAATTTTTGGTAGCTTTTGCAAATATTGGTGGTGCTCGAGAAGCCGTTATCTGCCGCATATTTTGGCATGAAAATTGAACAACTGCTCCGGGTCGAAGCTCTCGCGCTGAAAAGAATGGTCTAGCATTAGTGTAGAGTGTACAGTGCAGTCATAGAGCTCAATACCTTTTGTTGCTTCCGTTAAACTTTATGCCTGAATTGTTCTGGGATCAATCTGATGGCTTCGTCAAGCCTTAGGTAGAACTCGTCCTTCTCACTCTCGGGGCATCCGGTCTGCGGAGCGTACACGGAGAGTATTGTCCAGTACCCCTCCTTCGTGTCTATCCTCACAGCCATGATCCGATCGCTGATCCTGTTCACAGC